TCCATAAGTAATGTTAAATAAGTTAAAAAAATTATAAATATAAAATATAATTTAATATATTAATTTGTACCTTGTATTGAATGTAGAGACTAATAAAGATTGAATGAAAAATTAGGGTTTAAGAAAGAATAGAGTAGAAAGTGAAAAATAGAATTTAAAAGATAGAAAGATAAAATATGATTATGTTGATTGTAAAAGAAGAAAAATCAAGAATGAAAAATGAAAAATAATAAAATCATCAAAAAATGACTAGAGTGATGAAAAAAGAGAATAAAAAAAAGAAGAAAGAAAAAGAAGAACGATGAAAAAAGGGATCAATAAAAAACAAATTTAAAAATAGAACTTAAAATAAAAATTTAGTTAGAAAGATATTTTAAAAATTTTATTTAAAAAAAAAGAGATTGAAGATGTACTTATAAAAAATAGGAGGTGTATATATGATCAGCCAAATCCAATTGGTCGTAGCAATTAGTGGCTGAGGCTCCACAACTTCTTGGCTGGGCAATGACTTCGTTAATTGGACTCTAGCTGAAGGCCCGCTATATTCAGCCCAAGACACTCCAATCATTTCAGGAAGGCCCATTCGCTGTTGACACAACGATGCTAATGGTGATCATATGTGAATGTGGCTAATTAAATTATATTCTCCAATACAATATTATATATAAGACCCACATATATAGCATAGTAAGTTTGAAAATTGCATCGAAGAAAAGTATACTTTTGAATAATTTGATCATAAATTTTTGTTGTAAGTGTTGTGCACCCGAAATTACCACACACACATAGATATATATGTTTTGAGTGCGAGATTATTACGCACATACACATACATGACTTTCCTCATGACAGGGGGACAACATTGGTAAGATATTGTCCGCTTTTGATCCAAACCATCACAGTTTTGCTTTTGTGAAAATTATTTGACATTGTTGCTGTAAGTGTTGTGCACCCGGGGTTACCACACACATGCATATATATGCTCTAAGTGTGGAGTTACCACACACATACTCATACATCATACATGACCTCTCTCATGATAGGGGGACAACATTGGCAAGATATTACTTGTTTTGGGTCAAAGTTCTCACAGTTTTGCTTTTGGATACCACCCAAAAAATCTCTCAACCAATGGAGACAATTGTGAGATTTTGCTTGCATCCAAACAGTAAATTCCCTGTACTGGTTGAAAATAAAAAATATAGAAATATTATGAAAAGTTTTTATTAAATTTTTCTTACGTATTTTTAATGTAATTACGCTGTAATTTATTTTAATTAATACTTTTTTTTTTGCAGAATCTTATTTGACATTGTAGACTTTGGATTTAGAAAACTGAAAAAAGATGAGCAGTTGAGACAAATAAATGTGCACTTGCCATTACACTCTTTTCATTTTATTTATAGTTTAATTTTTTTAAAATTATATAAATATCTTTACATTGTTCATTAACTTAAATTATCTTAACTATCATTTTAAAAAAATTATTATAAAAACTAATAATTTCACCGTCATAAACTTTTAAATATGGAAAGGTTTGATGTGAAAATAGTTCCATAAATTGAAATACAAATTCACACGATTTTCAAAAGGGTTTGTGGAAACCTGTTTTTGGTGCATTGGAGAAGTAAACAAGGAAGATTAACCGAATGTTAACATGGTTTGTGGAAGTTAATTTCCAAATGAAACAAATTAAAAATGCATAAAACATGTTTGTGAAACATTTTCGTAAACCACTTTTTCACCAAGCTTTCTTCGGCTCAACGGCCATTCATGTAACCAAAAATTAAATAAAACTAGTATTTATTTAAATAAAAATGCAGAACATTATTGTAATTTCATGTTTTAACTTTAAGTAAATATGAAGGGGCAAGATGGGATATGAGGTGGAAAAGGAGATTTTCTGTCCCTAAATCCATTAATTCCTATCTTTTCTGAAGAAGAAAAAAATAATACCAAACTCAGTTCTCACTTCCTTGTTCCTTCTCTTCTTTCATTCAGATATTTCATATTTGTATCCCTAAACTTGTCTCCTGCTATTTATATGTGAATCTACAATATTTTTTTTTTCTCATCAGAATATGTTACAACCATCAAAGACCAATTCCTCAAAGCATAGAGATTATCGAAGTGAATTTTGTATTTTCAACAAAATTTTCTCTATACATTCGGTTAGTAAATCGAACCCTGTTAATATATTTAATAAACCTAACTGTCGTTGGATTTTGCTGGTTTTTTTCTCGTCAAAATTGATAGTAGAAATATTTTTGGCATGTAATGTTTAAGCCAACTCTCCACCCTTTTTCTTATAAAATATAAAGCAGCCAGGTTTATAAAATTTATTCATCTCCATGTCATGCATTTATGTAATTTAATATTTTAATATTTTAGAATTTTTGGGACGTTTGTATCGATAGAATCTATTATTGAAAAAAAAAATGTAATTTAGTGTTTTAGAATTTTCGGGACGTTTGTTTTTATTTTAGAAAGAAAATAATGAAATATTAATTTTTTTTCTTCATATTTTAACATTAGGGTAAAGTTTATTTTTTTTAGTTAATTTTGGTAAGTATTTTTTTTGTTAGAATTGAAAATGTCGTGAAATAAAAAACCACACATTTACCAACAAATTAAATATTAAAACTAGTTAATTATATATATATATATATATATATAATATATGTATGTATGTTCTTTATATCCAGAAAAATGCTGTGTCAATTGTGAAATATGAGCAAGTGAGAAGAATTTTTCTTCCTTTGAGAAATGCGAACACTAAATCTAAATCTTACAATCGTATACATGGACGGTCAAAAGTAACTAATGACTACTTAAATATGTTATGCAATTAAGAGTATATCAAATAAGAACACTTTTATTGTGAGAAATGAGAATCAAATTATAAATTTTTTATTTTAATAGTCAATATTAATTAAGAGAATAAAATACACAAATTTTTAAGTGACTTCTATATAACTTTTAATCTTAACTATTTATGTATTATATAACTCAAATTTAAAGTTTCCACATTTTAAAATAGAACCGTTCTAGCTAGTAAATAAATAAATAAATATATATATATATATATATATATATATATATATTATCTTTGCCGAACAAAAAAATATAAATGGGTCCAATTTTATTATAAGATCATCTTCTAATTGTTAATTGTATTAATTATATCTAAAATATCCTTATTTAATAAATAATTTTGGGCAAAAAATAATAACTTTTTGAAATTAATTAGATAAAAAATTTATCTCTCAAATAAACAAACACATAATTAAGTATGTCTCTTTCAAGCATTAATTAATTAGATAAAAAATAATTAAATGAAAAAAGAGAAAGTTAATTTTAGAAAAATAGTTTAAATTATTAAAAAATTTAATATTCTTAATTAAATTAATTAATTTTCTTAAAAGGTGTAATTTAGTTGAAAAAATCTTATTAATTATTTTGTCCTGTAAAAATAATAGAGTTAAGTTCCTTTATTTTTATTAGTCAGGATTTCAAATCGAATTTTGTAAAAGTGGTCGACTGTAGTCAACATGAAGCTCTCACTTAATAGACTCCCCAATGTACGTGTAAACTGTTGAAGTAAATAATTTCTAAGTTTTCAAGTAATTAGATAGAAAAATGTTGAAACAAATCAATTAAAATTCACTTCAGTATAAAGCTCACGGAAGCTTTTACTTTTGAATAAACTTGAATACTCTCACGAGAAAATCTCAACCTTTATCCTCTCTAAAAGGATATACATGGATTGAACTGATGGAAGAAAAAAAGTTTATGGTCCAAAACAAAAGTTGGCACACAAAATCAGCATATCTATGAGGGATATATATGTATTGTAGATAAGCACAGGATATACTCTGAGTTGGACATGGCAAATTCACCAGATTTTGAGGTAATGTCTAAAAGTAATTAATTAAGCACGAGCAGTTGTTGAAAAAAAAAAAAAAAAAGATTGAAGTTCTGTCATTTAAGTGCAACACGAAGTTGCATTGCATTGCATGTGTTCATACTCCTCCTTTAAATCTTATGATGGATTAATTGGTCGCTATACGTTAACCATGTTTTCCGGATAACTTCAATTCGGTGCTTTTCCTGTGTTTCTTGGTCAGCAACGATCCACGATATCAATTACACTTGTTGCTTCCTTAATAAATCAGAAGAAAAAAAATAACAATATTTGAATTTGGGTCAACCCGTACACCAATTTACGTATTGTGTTTCATATCAAGAATCAAGATGCACTATAATATTTTGTTAGAGAAAAAGTTTATTAGGTAAATTGGATAACAAGTAACAAGTAAGTGGAAATAACTCATGAACCAAGTTAATCCTTTGAGATTGAGTTAAATGTGTATTCATGGTATATATGTCTCTAATTCTAATGTTTAAGTTTTTATATGTTGACCATATATATAAATTATAAAGTGAATTTATAAAATATTCAATGTAAGTGAGCAAGTTGCAAACAAGCACGGAAGTCACGGGAAATGAAAAATAACAGTATGATTGTATTTTATTGACTCTCTGAATCTGATGACAAAGTCACAAATCATACTCTTCAATTGAAATGGATAAGCTGCAGTTATATTTTCAAAACTGCACCCCCTTATAGTTGACTTTCGACATTAGTTTTACTTATAAGAAAACTTGGAACGTTATATATTTTTTCCTAGATACTTCTCTGACATGATCTTTGAATTTTCTTTCTAAATAGTATTTAATAACCAATTGGACTAATCATTTCTTACTTTGATTTCTGTCATATCCCATTTGCAAATTTCAACAATAGCCATCTGTTTTTTCCATGCAAATATGATTTAGGATAGTTTACAGTTGAAAAATCTACAATTTCCTTTTCGTTGTGCACCTGTGCTTATAATAATATTACTTTGCTTTAAAACATTAAATTATTAACAGTCAAGATTACACACACTGTTTACCAAATTGTAAAAGATCCGAATCTATAAATAGCTACGAGAGGCAGCACAAGTTCCCCACATCTCACCTCAATCCATTAAAAACCACCATGGCTATCTCTCCAATTTTCTTGCTAGCTATCTTCTCTCTCATTTTTGGCAATGCTGTTCCTCCCATTCAAGCCAGCCACCACGTTTACACAAATCTTCAGACTCTTTCTTCTGATTCCTCTAATCAACCTTATAGAACTGCTTATCATTTCCAACCTCCCAAGAATTGGATTAATGGTAATTATATTTCCATACAAAATAGTCTAAATCTTCTTTCTAAATTATACCTTTCTTCAATTTTCCGTGGGAAATATTTCATTTCTCTAACTATTATTTTTCATTTTGCTTTTTATTTTTGGTTGTCATTTGATGTTATGCTGTGGACATCATGCAGACCCTAATGGTTAGTTCTATTCTCTGTTACACTCCTTCATTTATGCTCTTTACTTCTCAAAATGACTGAAATGCTCAAATCTTATATCCAAATTCTCTTTAGTAGGGACAAAATGAATATTTTTTTAAGAAATCCCTTTACTTAAAATTAAACTTAGGACAAAATTTAGACACATTTTCTATATTATCGATATTTTGTTTTTTAATTAAAATTTAAATTTCATTTTATTAATATCCATTGATATTTAACAAAAATCCTTCATTTCGTATATTAGCAAATTAGAATTTTAACTCTGATTGAACAAACTAAGTTTTGTCCTCAAATTAAATTAATAATCGAAAAGTATACTCCATGGTCCCCGCTTATATATTTAAAACATGCATACTTATAGTAGACAACAGGTGAAGGTGTGTACATGTTTACTCTTGGTTGAAGATGTGCTTGTGTGTGGACTTTTATGTAGGGCCAATGAGGTATAAAGGACTCTACCATTTGTTCTATCAATACAATCCAAAAGGTGCTGTTTGGGGCAATATTGTGTGGGCCCACTCTGTGTCAAAGGATCTAGTGAATTGGACTCCACTAGATCATGCCATCTACCCTTCTCAGCCGTCTGATATCAATGGATGTTGGTCAGGCTCCGCCACAATGCTTCCTGGGGGCAAGCCAGCCATTTTATACACAGGAATAAATCCTATGAATAAACAAGTCCAAAACTTAGCCTTTCCCAAAAACATGTCTGACCCATTACTTAGGGAATGGGTCAAGTCCCCAAAAAACCCTCTGATGGCACCAACTATTGCTAACAAGATCAATGCAAGCTCATTTAGAGACCCCACCACTGCTTGGCTAGGCAAAGATGGGTACTGGAGGGTGCTGATTGGAAGCAAAATAAACACTAGGGGTATGGTAATTTTGTACAAGAGCAAAAACTTTGTTAATTGGGTCCAAGCCAAACACCCCCTACATTCAGCAGAAGGAACTGGAATGTGGGAGTGTCCTGATTTCTATCCAGTTTTGAACAAGGACCCATTAACTTTGGGCCTTGACACATCTGAGAATGGTGATGATGTTAGGCATGTGCTCAAGGTTAGTTTGGATGATACCAAACATGATCATTATTTGATTGGGACTTATGACACTGCCAAGGATATCTTTATTCCGGACAAGGGATTCCAGGATAGCCAATCTGTCTTGAGATATGACTATGGAAAATATTATGCTTCAAAAACGATTTTTGAGGATGGAAAGAACAGAAGGGTCTTATTCGGTTGGGTTAACGAATCCTCAAGTGTTGCTGATGATAGAAAGAAAGGATGGTCTGGAATCCATGTAAGTTGGACTCAATTTCTTTATTTCTTACACTTTTGTTCATTTTTAAAACTTGATTAAACATAAAAGGCCTTGAACTTATTATAGTTTATATGGTTTATGATATATTATATGGTTTAGTATTACACGAGCTAGCTCATGGCATGGTTGGTCGTGAAGTGAGACTGTGCGAGCTAGACTAAACACAGATTTATGTTGAACGAATAGTTTTAATAAAATTATTGGACTAAACTTTCTTCAATAATGTAATACTATATTTGTAGACTATTCCAAGGGCTATCTGGCTTCATAAATCGGGAAAACAGTTGGTCCAATGGCCGGTTGTGGAAATTGAAAGCCTGCGTGTGAACCCTGTCCACTGGCCCACCAAAGAGGTCAAAGGTGGTGAACTGCTTCAAGTTACTGGTGTTACTGCATCCCAGGTATTTTTCACTTGTTATAATCTTTTAAGAGTAATACTATATCTGTAATATGTGAAATCTTGCATTTATATTGGTGCACAACCATATGCTACGTTGCTTGAACTAGGATATGAATACATCTTACGTGGGAATGAATATAAATGAAATATATAATCCGGGAATGAGTTCTATCACGTGGACTTCTACTTGAATTATCTTTAGTGGAACTTGACAAATTATGTTTAGTAGAATCATTTTTTTCAACAACGTATTAAATCCATATTGGAGTATCGTAGCAATGCCTCGTTGGAAGCATTCAATAATTAATTACGCTATCATCTAGGAAAGGAGCACTATAACAAAAAGAAAAAAAAAATTCTACTCACTACGTACTTATCTTAAATAGTAAAATGAAATGTGACCAAGAGAATAGAAGAAAATTGAATACACATGAATAGTTAACATTATCCCCTATACAAAAATGTTGTATATATCAATAAATTGTCTTTTGTTGGCAGGCTGACGTTGAAATTTCATTTGAAGTGAATGATTTTGGAAAGGCCGAAGTATTGGACCAATGGGTAGATCCCCAAATCCTGTGTGGACGAAAGGGTGCATCCGTAAAAGGTGGTTTGGGACCCTTTGGTTTGCTAGTTTTTGCTTCTCGTGGCATGCAAGAGTACACAGCTGTTTTCTTTAGAATATTTAGATACCAAAATAAAAATTTGGTTCTCATGTGTAGCGACCAAAGCAGGTTTGTCCTTGTCCTCTGTCCCTTTCCCTATACTTTTTATCAAACTTAGTTACTTGTCAAACTTGAGATAGTCCAAACCTTTCTCTCTCTGATATATGCAAATGTAATACTTTGACAGATCTTCTTTGAATAAAGATAACGATATGACCACCTATGGGACTTTTGTGGACATAGACCCTCTTCATGAGAAGCTGTCGCTAAGAACTTTGGTAAGTTGATGTAATTCATGAGACTATTTAAACAAAGTTTAATGAATGAAAAGTATGTTTGTGGATTGTAGTGAGGACCCATCATAGATTGCTTATAGTTATTAGATTTTCTTCAAAAAAATTACAATTGCACAATTTATATAACTTTTGTATTGTATAAAAGTTAGGATTAATAGTCATGTATATCGCAGTAGAGTAGTTTTACACCGTCAGCTAATATAATATTTGTTAATATGATTTTTATAGAATACATACAAGAAAAGAAATCATGTACTACGTGTTATTCATGGCTTCATTTTTTACATTCACAGATTGATCACTCAATAGTGGAGAGTTTTGGAGGAGAAGGAAGGGCATGCATCACAGCCAGAGTATATCCCACATTAGCAATTAATGATAAGGCACAACTATTTACTTTCAATAATGGAACTGCTGCTGTCAAGATCACAAGTTTGAGTGCTTGGAGCATGAACAAGGCAAAAATCAACTGAAACCAAGTGCTAGTGATAAAGACTAAAAAAGAGGAACCCAATTAAGGATTCATGTCATGATAACCAATATTTTTCTTTTATTAGTGCCTAAGAATTTGTTATTATCTTGTAACAATGGTGCGTGTTATTCATCTTAAAAAATATTTGATAAGAAATATATGAAAACAATACGTTTTGTAAACATATTCAAGATGCTTCACAACTTATTGTATTGACTTTTAATTGAAAAATAAAATAAATTCAATAATTTTTATTTTTGTTTTCGATATACAAAATACTTTATTCTTATAGTATTTTACTCCTACAAATTGGAGATTAAATAAGGGAGTTTACTAATCATGGACAAAATTAAGAAAATCTTAATTATACAAAATAAATTATGCAAACCTACAATTTAATTAATCAGATATGTTCATCTCAACACTTTATCTCAAGTTGGTAAATGATGAATGTCATACATTCCCAACTTGTCTAACAATCTCCAAAAAATTTGACTTGTCATAATTTTGGTAAGAGTATCTATCAACTATCTTCAGGTCGAATATTAGGTAATTCTATAATATTCTCATCAAGCTTTTCTTTGATAAAAAAAAAATCTATCAACCTCCACATGCTTCATACGATCATGTTGGACATGGTTGTGGGTAATGTCACATGTAACTTTATTATCACAATATAAATGAATGGGACATAGTCTAAGCCACAAACCTTCATAGAGTCCAAGAACCATTTCTATGAGTTCAACTTCTGCATTGGATCTAGCTACAACACTCTACTACTTGCTTCTACATGTGACAAGGTTATCTCCTACAAATGTGAAATATCCGGAGGTTGATCTTTTATCATTAAGAGCACCTACCAAATCTGCATCAGTTTCTTTCAACAAATCCAATGCGTACTTTCACTGAGACATAAAAATGTCTGACTTTGATCTTGAAACCTTATTTCTAAGAAAGTACTTCAAAGGTCCAAGATCCTTCATCTCAAACTCCTTTGCCAAATATTCTTTCAACATAAACAATAAGAATTGTAATCTTTCCTTCTTTTTTCTTTAGAAACAAGGTATGATCTTGGTTGCTCTGTCAATATCCAAATATAAAAATTGACTTGGTAAATATACCAAACCACGCTTGTGGCAATTGCTTTAGTCCATACAATGACTTTTTCAACTTGCATACCTTATTACTTTGTGTATTTGAGATCACACATCCTTCTTGTAGTTTCATATAAACTTCTTCAAATAGCTCTTTGTGTAAGAAGACATTTTTTTTATATCAAATTGTTGTAAGGGTCAATCAAGGTTTACAATTAGAGATAATAAAACTCGAATTGTGTTAATTTTGGCTACAGGAGCAAACATTTCAATATAATCTAATTCATATGCTTGTGTATACCCCCTTGCCACTAGTCTAGCTTTAAATCTCTCAATTGTACCATCTACATTAAATTTCGTTGTGTACCCATCGACATCTTATTGGTTTCTTTCGAATTAGACAATCCACAAATTCCCACATTTCATTTCTTTGTAAGGATCTCATCTCATTCATAGCATCCTTCCACCTCGAGTCAGCTAAAGCTTCCTACACATTGTTATAGATAATTGACTTATAAATGCGCTATTTGAGTTAGACATATTTTGGTTAGAAATGTAATTGCTCATAGGGTATTTGGTCTTACTAGTGAAGTTAGGATTATAAGTAAGCTTAGGGGTACCTCTAGTGACACTATCTGGTAGGATTCTTCTAACTGTATTTGGTTCTTGTTGGGACGACTAGTGTGGTATATTGTCAATATTAATTGGAAAAATTTCAATCTCGACATATTCAAATCCTCCATGATGTACCTCTTCCTCATTATGTGACTGCTGATTGCCATATTATTACACACTGTCATCTTCTCTTGGTACAATTTAGTAACTTCCTTTCTCCAATCTAACCTCAGTATTAACTTCTTGAGGGACAAGAGTCTAAATTTCATCACAATTCTCTCCTTGAATTTCAAACTCGGGTGAAAAATACATCAATGTCTCATGAAAAATTACATTTATAGTAGTGAACATTCGCTTAGTTTGTGGATGGTAGCACCGGTATCCTTTCTGATGAGCAGCATAGCCAAGGAACACACACTTTTCAGTTCTAGGAGACAACTTAGTTCTCTAATGCGTGTGTAAGTGAACATAAGTGACACAACCAAAAAACTTTGTGTGTTAATTCAACAATGTTAGGACTTACTATTTCATCCATAAGTGATTGAAGAGGTGTTTTATACTTAAGAGATATGGATGATGTTCGGTTGATAGTGTATACTACATATGCGAGGGCTTCTCCCCAATATATTGTTGGTGTAGACCCCTAAAATTGTCCGGGTCGGAAATAAGACTCAAAGACTCTCGAAGACCGAAGGAAAGTCAGCCGGAAGGACTCCTGGAAGACCCTAGGATGATTCTTTGTAGGTCTAGAAGTCTTAGAGTAGCTTAGAATAAGGGTGTGCGAGGATTGGAGCTCAATACACCCTCCCAGAGGTTCAGTACGGCCGTACTGAGCCATTTGAACTGCAATACGGCCGTAGTGAACTCAATACGGCCGTACTGAAGTTTTTGAACTTCAGTACGGCCGTACTAAATTCAATACGGCCGTACTGTAGTTCAAAAACCCAGTACGGGCCGTATTCACCTCTTAGGCCGTATTGCGCCTCAATCCTATAAATAGGACGTCATTTGCACGTCCTCCCACACTTTTTCCACACTTCTGGACCCTCGTGCTGAGTATTCTTGGGTTTTTGAGCTATTCTCTGCCCTAGAAGTCTCTCCGAGAGCCAATCCGACGAAGTTCTTGAGTCATGAGCCATTAGCTTGAGACTCGAACAAGTCGAAGGGAAATCTCTTTGATTTCCATAGTAAAAATTATCTTTAGGGAAAGGAGCGAGCGGACGTGTAGTGGGAAGGAGCGCCAAAAAGCCTCCTAAACTTCGTTTTGAATATATAAAAGCCCGCTTC